GGAGGCCAGCGTTTCGCCCGGCGTGCGTCCCTGTAGGGTGGAAACAGTTCCAGCTGCCACCGCTGCCGGGTTCATCCATTGAGTTCAATATACTTTTAAAAGTAAACTATTTAAAAATAAACTTAAGGCGAAATAACAGTTGTATAAACAAACACCGTGGGCCACCAGAAGCTGGAAATGGGGCTTTCTTCTTTTGTATTTAAAAGGGGGAATACAGTTTTACAAAACGTGTGCATTTCTTAATAGCTGCTTTTGCAAATGACAATTCACGTGAGACAACGCCTCTGGTAACAACAGAATTATGGAAGGGTTATAATGTCTTTAGCAAAAATACTAACAACAATCACACTAAATAACGGATTAGTGAAACTAACGCTGACAGCCAAACTGAGTCACGGTGTAAACTGATGCAACTCCACTGACCTGCCTGAAGGCTGAATTTGGCTCAGTACCTGTGTGAAAAACGTGCTTTTTTACACAATACTAACAATTCTGTGCTTCCACATGTGCCTTGGAATTTTTCCTCCTAAATACACACCGGTTTTGGCGAGCACCGACTCCTCCACCACAGTGCATTCCTACTCACGTGTGCCCTTTTCACATTCAGTGACAACTTTGCTCACCTTGTTTCGAAGCAGGAGTAAGAAACAAAAGGGATGCAGTCAAAAATACTTCAAGCCACCCGAGGCAAGCGTATACCTTAAGCAGTGCCGAGTACTACGAGCAACTGTGACTGTAATGTTAGTGACAGCAATAATGACCTCAGTGCAGGGCATTTCCTGGCAAATACCGGGATTTTTAATTATTTTTTTGTAATGAGTGCCCACAGGTGCCAATTAGCTAACACACTAGAAGCAAAAAATACAGGAATAAGGACCTCAGCGTTATTAGTCATTTCATTCCTGTATTCATTCCTTACGCAAAGAGCTGTTTTACTGGTGGTTAAGTGTTCTTGCTTTAACAGCCTGCTCTTAACCAGCAAACCATGTACTGAATTTTAAGCATGCAGTTAAATCTTACATGGGAATGTAATGGGATTCAGCCTAGTTCATAAAGTCAAGCTGCTTTGTCCAGAGATGGACGTAAGCTTGTGCTGAAATATATTTCTTTGTTGGGAACACAGACAAATAGGATGTCTAAATACAGTACTGGACTGAGGCTCTGCCTCAAAAACAGTTTGCTTTTAGGCCTCCAAGTAAGTCGCACACAGCCATACCTTAACAAGCGCACACCCAGTTTTTGCCCAGACGGAAGCATCCTGCCCCTGATTTCCAAACAGTCTGCAGCAAAAACTCATAAAAACCACTTCTGGGGAAAGGTGAAGGCAGGGGGGAGCAGACAGAGAGTAAACAAATGCAAATCCTTGGTCCTTAAGTAAATTTGCTACTGACACCCAAGAAGTTACCCTACTCGCTTACGTCTCCCTCTCTTTGAAAGCAGCAGTAAGGCAGGGCTGTAACCCGCACAAAGGAAGGAAGGGGCCAGCCCGGGAAGGCACAGAAAGGTTCCTCAAGATGGGCATTCTCCTATGATCCACTTCATCCCTCTTTTTGTAATAAACCTTTCCACCTTTGCAGCTTGTTTCATTGCCAGCAGCTCGACTGTTGCCGAGTTCCCCTTCTTTGGCAAGCGGGGCTGACCAACCCTCTCACAAAGGCCTAACAAGGTAATGTCTGTACAGTGCTTAAGAACATGCAAAGTGCAATATAAGTGCCAAATGTTCTTATTTTAGAGCTTAATGAATTAATACTCCAAGAAATATACGCACTGAGGTAACTATTGCTTAAATACTACATTCCCTCACGATTAAAAAAAAACCCCAAACCTAAGAACCTTTCTCTCTAGATAGATGAATCCTGACTATAAAGTGGCAATACCTTACTTATATTCTGTCAAGATTACCACAGCCGTAGAGTGCCCTTTCAGTAAAAGCAAAACTGGGGAAGTGAATTGAAGTTCTCCAAGAAACTAAGAACTCTGCATTGATGATTTCCTCAAATACCATTCTCTGTGGCATTTTCAGCACAGGTCTGCTTCCACCCATTACACCTAGAGAAGCCGGTGTGTCGTAACGCAGAAGCAATGCACAATCCAGTTTCAGATCCGGCACTCTGATGGCTGAACAGCCAGAAATATCTGCTAGCAAGGGTAGGTAGGACCATAATCTGCATGAGCTCTCTGAAAAGTTCAGGTTTTGTCCCTTAGTGAAGTCCATGCTCCATCATTTGAGAGTCTGTGACAGTAAGGCTGTATGTAGTATCCAATGCACAAGCTCCTATCAGAGCACACCAGCTATCAAGGATAAACTGATTATTCTGGTGGTCAAAAAAGGATCAATGCAATAATGAATTAAACACTGCACATACTTTTCCTTTTTCATTCCTGTATCCGCTTTGGCCAATAATGAACCCAAGATTCGACAGACTAACGATCTGGTCGATGAAACCAAACCCTGCATTCCTATGCACTGTGTGATAGATTTAAGACATGGCACAAAAGAGTCAATAGCACCCTAACCAGTAAACAAATACTGCTGTAAAATGCTGATGTAAGTACCAGAATTCAGCTGGTTTTCAAGTGTTGAAAGAACACCGAAAACGTCCCGACGAGGCATCCTGGTTCTGTGAAAACAGTAAGAGCTGTAGTAGGTCCCGCTTAGTGGTTTCACTCTGTTTTCTTACTCCAGTGCTCCTGTCAAATACTCCCTTCATCGATGCTCTGCAACTGAAGTCTTTGGCTAGCATGGGGCCTGATACCACGCCGTGTGTTCACACTGCTTCCTGGAAGAGTCCGCACAGGGAACAGAGCTCCTGGTAAAGCATCTTCCCCAAACAAACTGATTTTCACATCAGCTTCAATAGCTCTTGCTAAACTGGATGCGTAACTGTCCAGAGATTTATGGACTTCGGCTTTCACATGAAGAACAGAATTCTTTGCAGCTTCTGAAAAAAAAGGCAACATATTAGAAAATTAAGTTGATCAGCATGGCTGCGCAAATGCTTGAAGACTAATATTGATCCTTTTGCAAAGGTATGATCATGCCTTCTGCAAAGTAACTACCTTGCAGAGCACATTTACCAACAATACCTGGGGTTCCTCATCATTCTATGAACACAAAGCTTCAGAGTGACCTCGACAGGTCAAGCAGATAAAGATTACCTCCAATTCAAGTGGACAAAAAAAAAAAAGATCTAATGAAACAAAGTGCTTATACACATATGTTTAGCTTTGAATTAAGTGTATGTTGAGTGATTTTCTGAACTTGAACCTATGCACACAGAATTTTATTGGTCCGAATTTGTACCCAACTGAAGTCAACAGCCTGGTTTCTGCTTACTACCTGGAGTCCAGGATTAGGGACAATGGGAATTGTCTGGCATCAGACAAGAATTCATGCAGAAGACAGGAACAGAACCCTCAATTTGTACTTCCTCTGCTGTAAGCACAACTTACAGCCTTACAGGGATTCTCAGTGCATTTGGACTAAGATCTTGCACTTCATTGACATGAACAGTGCAGTTTAAGAGCTATTTTATAACAGGTTTTAAGCCCAGCAAACACCAGACTTCGTGTTTATGGATTAACAGTCCCCAAATTCCAAGGGCTTCTTCCAAGTTGTGATTAAAAGCACCAGTCTGCTGTCCTTAGGCTTAGATTGGTTCCAGCCACACTGTGGGACCGACTTCCACTTCCAGTGGGGAAGCTGTAGAGCTCTCCACGCCAGGAGAGGTTGAAGACCACAGCTGCAGACAGTGATACGCTTCTTCCTAACCTTTTATTACCTTGGATACACCTGCCCTTCAGCGTTAATGTAGTTGCTTTTGTAGCATCTATATACCTCTCTACCCACCAACACGTTGGGCAACACAGGTGTTCATCCTAAACATAATCCTTCCATGAGGCTGCTGAAATAATTTAAAATCTCAGAGATCCCAAAAACCCTGAGACGTGCCAGGGAGAACTGCTAAACCTGTGGGGAACTTCTGCACTAAGGCCTTCCTCTTTCACTGAACTGCACCAAAAAAAAAAAAAAAAAAAAAAGATGCCTGCCCCTACATAATCACTCAGAGAGATAATGGGAAACATACAGTAATGTATTTGTCCAAGGAAATAATCAGCTCATGCTGGGAAGAGGGCAAGAGTGAACTTTGCCAAGATGTTTGAAGAGAAAATTCCACAGAAAGAGTCTTCTCATTATTTCAGAATCATAAAAATCGGTCAGGTTTTATTATTACTTGATTCTTAAAGGCATTCTACTCATTTTTGTAATGTCCACAATCATTTATTGTTCAGTAAATTCAGTTGTTATTATCAAGTCTTCTAGACCATATTATTGTAACTATCAGCTTAAATGAAACCGTTTGCCACATTTTACAGATATGGCAAATGTATCTTATGTATCTGTATCACAGCAACACTTTGCTAGCACAGAATCAACAAGTGAGTTGACTGAAAAAAAAAGTGCATGTGGTTCATTTATTTTTCACCCATATCTGCTGAGAAACATACTCAGCAAAGTAAATGAAGTTAAGTAAAAAAAAGTAAGTGAAACAGAATGAAATTACATTCAAACCATTGAAGTCTGTAAATGGAAGAATTTCAAGTCTGTGAATGACAAAGTTGGGAGGAGGCAGCAAATGAGAAACACTGGGATAACGGAATCAAAGTATAAGGGCAGGAAAATGTATTCCTTGAGAAACAGAAAACAGACTGCAACAGCCACCAAATGAGTGGAGCTGCAGAGGGGATACTGCTGTGCAACATAAATGATGTGTACGCAGGGAATGCCAACTTCTGACTCTTGTCCTTCTCTGTTGCTACTTGAGAACTGGAAGAAAGACCTGATCTTACTTTCTGTTGTACCTGCATGAATGGTCAGGTATGTCAAGATGACCAGTGGTCAGTTATGTTTTAAGGCAATTCTGAAGGTCCTGGGAGGCTTCCTGAGCAGGCAATATAGTTGGTTCTGAGCATTTCCACACTTACCCCTAAACCCACCTTTAATTTGCTCTACTTCATCTTCAAACGTCACTGAACTCCTCCTTCGAGGAGGACAGATGCAGTGTGGGGCATGAGGGCCATCTGAGCTATAATCTTCAAGAAGCATTGCATCTGTTCCTGAAACAAAGCAAGAGTTCTCAAGCAAAACAGACTAACACTGGGATACAATATTTAAGCGGTGGCAAAAACCTTTCATTCTATAGCATTTCCTTCAAAAGATGTCTAAACCCAGCTTTTGTGAGTAAAATTTCAGCTTGAATTAAATGCTGCACAGAAAAAGAATGAGGTCAGAGTTTTCATTGAAAAGATTTGGAAATCTTTCCTCATTAGCCATCTAAAAACTCAAGCAGCTCCAAAATGCTCAGCTGCAGAGCTTATAATATCAATAGGACAGCAGACAAAGGTGAAACCTTACCTTCAGTAAATAAAGGGTGAAGTTGAGGACAACTTCCCCCATCTCCTGATGAAGACAAGAGGCTAACAATGGCTACGTGAGAGGCAGATGACCATAGCTGCCAAACGTCATGTGTGTAATCAGACCTGGATGGAAATGTGAACTGGAGAATTTTTCTGTTCAATTTAGTCTGTCTCTAATAACCTACTTTGACTTTCTTGAAGTGTATTTTAATGGGGAAAAATCCCTTGCTGGTTAGGAATGATTTTTGTCCAATGAGTCATTTTATCAGTTTAGGAGTGATTTTTTTTATTTTACCTCCCTGCAGTTGCTTTGCACCTTTCTAATATAAAATAGAGTTTACAAGCACAAAGAAATTTATCTAGGCATCTCTGCAATATTTTCACACAAAGGACAAGACTGCAGCCTAGTCCTCCCTTGCAATGCTGGTCTCTGCCATGTAAGGGAAAAGCGGAGCAAGCACTTCGGGGAGACGCTAGGACAGTGCTGAGTGAGCAGTCCTCAGGGAAGCTGCTCTTGGAAGACACAGCCTGCACACACTCAATACGTGACACTTTACTATCAGTCCATTTACTCCTGTGGTGTGACAACAGGCCTAGGACAAAGAGCCTTCGCAGGTTTCATAACTCCTCCAGATGGTGGCTTCACATCCCTCTTCACCCACTTGACTGCTTTTGATCCCCAAATTTATTCTTTTTGCAATAAGAACGTGTTCCAGTGCCCATTTTACAGAAAGCGAGACAAAGGCATGGCTGGGGGGGTGTACCTCTAGACAACATACTGCTCCATAGGTCTACTCTTTGCTGACAATTCATTGTGATACAGCAAAGTGATAAACTTTTTCAGGTGAAACTTGTGTGTTCTGTCATACAACTCCCTCCAGCACACAAGAAAGAGAACGAGCTGCTGCCCTAATACACAGTCCCAAATCAGCTAACAACTTTCTGTGCTGTTCTGTGCATCAGCTGGGTTTGAGGCTGTCTACTGAAAACAGTAGACTCTTACTGATCTCCAAGGGTACAGAATCCACTTCGGAAACATGGTGTGCAATGGAAGGGTGGCACTAGGAAGAAAGAGATACTTTCTTCCATGGAGCAGAATTTTAGTGCATTTTTTCAAATGCACTAGTTCAGTGCATTTTTTCAAAAAAGGCTAGTGAAGAGACTAGCCTCTTGTTCTTACAGGGCAGATTTTTGTCCTTGGAATAACTGATATTAAGGCAGCATTTCTAGCAACCAGGACTCTGGTCTCCCACTTTAGTATTTTCTAACCAGCTGGCACCACTTGGATTTTTTCCTCTCCTACCACTTCATCTGCTTTTCACAACACGAAAAGCCCAGCTTCTGTTTACCAAGGCAGATAAAGTTGCGACTGCCTCACATGCCACAGTATCATGTACTACAGAAGGCAGCACTGAAGAGAGACTAAGACTTTAGTTCCTGGTCTTTAGTTCCTCACAGTAAAGGCATCCAGTGAAACAGCATTTCACAAGGCTGATCACCGTGTATCCATTCCCAGGCTATGGACTGTACCCCCTCCATAAGAAACAGTGGCACTCCTAACAGCATTAGGTATGTATTTGGTTTGTCCATTTGTTTAAACTGCTCAGTACCGTTCCTCATAAGATGATAACACAACATCCTCTTAACTGAGGCAGGTTTACCAGGATGCTATTCTCCTTTATCCCATACAGCCGCAGAATATCCACAACAGGCATAAAACTACCAGTGTAAAACAACTACCAAAATAAATCCCAGCTCCATGGACTTCTTTTACAAAAGTAAGAAACAAACCTCTAACACCAGGCAAATGTCAGAAGATCACCCTCTGGTGTCTCTAGAGCAGAAATACTCTTTAAAGTAACTAGCGCAGTTAAGGAGTGGTAGCTGAACTAACTGCAAGAAAAATCTAGCTACAGTTCTGGATAGAAAGTTACCGGTAGAACTCTTTTTTCCCTTTTCCAAACCATCTTCAGTTGAGAGATCTTAAGTAGTGATGCAATCATAAGCTGAAACCATCCTAAGTGTTTATGTTTACACTGCAGGATGAACAAGACAAGGTCTCTTACAAACTAGGAAACAGAAAAGCACATTCTCCACAGCACTTTGTTGCTCTGTTCCTTGCGGATACAGGAAAGTCCCTGAAGAACGATAGAAACTAAAGGAGAAGGGCACAAAAGCAGCGAGTCTTGTTCCCAGGACACGTTATCAAGGGAGGGTCATCATTCCTTAGAGTATTTTGCAGGTAAACAGATTGAGAGTAAGGAAGGAAAAAAGCAACTGCAGCAGTTTTGTTGTAACAGCTGGAACAGATGCTTCATGTCATCCATCCACCAAAAGACATCTGTGTGTAAATAGACTATCCCAGAGAGTTCTGCCAAGTTACAAGTGCAATCTTCTGCCCAAGAAAAGAGAGCAAGAGACTTAGTTACCTGAATCCTGTGAGCAGCTGAAAGCTGTGTCTCCTGTGCTGCTGCTGTTTCCTAATGGCCGCCCACCTGCCATGAGGGCAGTGAGATGAGGAGATAGTCCCAAATCTGTAAGAGAGTTTAATTCTCATTACACAATGAATGTTTAAGGGGTCTACAATAGTAAAAACCTCTTCCCACTCTACTGCCTTACTTACTGTTCTATGTATAAAACTCACCCAGCCAGCTGATCCGGAGTGCACAGCACCTGGACTTTCAACCTTAGAAATCCAGTCAACAGCTTTCAGGTATCCCTGGAGTCTTTCCATACGGCAAGTCTCCTTTCCACCTGCACCATCTCCCTCCCACTCTTTTTGCTACTGCATGTGGTTTATCAGCCAGCCAGGCTGAACACAGAGCATATGCACTCAGACAGATGTTTTTGCCAGACACCTGCTAGACAGAGAATAACTTGGTAGCCACCAGCAGCTGTGACAGGCCATTAGTGTGGCAGGAAGCTCATGGGCAAGGCTGGGGCACTGAGATGCCTGGCTTCTTTCAAACCCCCAAAACAAGAAGGGAGGAGATTCTAGGATTATTACAAAGGCGCTGTCTTTGGATTCCACTTAAAGATTTTGTTGTGGGTTTCGTTGGTTTTTTTTCCCCCTCCCTATCAGCCTCTAGCTAATACACCTGATAAATCTGAAGCTGTCAGCTTCTTATCACTTGGAAAGAGAGAGATTTCCTGTCTTTTCCCTCCTACTCCAGTTCCCAATGTATTCATCCGTAGCATCTCCTGGATACAAATTTGCCAAAGCTCCTGCAGCTTGTAATGTGGCTGCAGCTGCAGAACTCTTTCATTTAGATGGGAGTCTCTCCCAGTGATCCCAGGTTGCAGAAAAGATAACTGATGCCTTGCTGCTTTCCCCTTCCTTCTGCATTTTAGATTTTCCTCCCCAATTAAATAACTTCTGTTCCTGCCTCTGCATGAAATGTTCCAAGGAACCCTGTGAAGATGTTCTATTTTGGAAGCTTCTGAACAGGACCAGGGAAATGATCAAAAATCAGAATTTTGTTGCATTGCTACTTTAAAACAAAAAACCAAAAAAGCGCTCAGCCTGCAACTTGGGGAGACATCAAATAGTTTTACTCTTTTACATAGTTTTGCTTTGTTTATGATCTTCTCTTCACAACCATTAAGCCTAAAAACTGAATTTACAGAATAGTAACACCAGTGTAACTTTAGTGAATCTCAAAGAGTTGTAGCATTAAAGCCAGGAATCAAAGAACAAGTTCTGCAAAATGTACTATGGGTAGTGCTCAAATCTGGGTAACACAAAACGGTAGGCACATGAAAGGAAATGCTTGAGAAAAGAAGAAAATAAATTACTTTTATTAACCCCATCATTATGTCTTCTCTGGCAGATTTTACTAGAGTAGGAGAAAGAGGTTAACTCCCACAAAAAGAAAATTTCTCCTTTCAAGTGTCCATGATAACCTGAACAAAAGACTGCTGAAACATCCCACTTTGTTTACAGAGCCCTGATACATGCCAAGCACACACAGACATTAAGCCTTGCTCTTACTGGTATTAAGGAAGAGTGTCTTTTGCGGCCATGCGCCTTACCTGTGATCCTATTGGAAATGCTGAATAACCTCGATGTCCTATGCCGCTGAACAAAGGACTCGCGATAATACCGATCCCCAAAGCACATTCCTAGTAGTTCCTTGCGCACTGTCTTGTTCCACAGTCCATAAATTAGTGGATGGCAAATGGCACTGGAAAAGGACAACCACGTAGCTAATGTCTCCAAGGTAGGGGAAATACTGTTTTTTCCCCAAAGTGCCTCTGATGTAATTACTACCATGTAAGGCCCCCACGTGATCACGAAAGCACCGATGACAACCAAGATGGTTATGAAAGCTTTGCACTGGTTGGCTGAGTAGACAACCCCTTGGAAAGCATTCCTTCGGCTGCCAGAAGAGGACGTGGAGGTGCTGGAGTTCTTCCTCCCATTCCTCTGGGAGTCCTCCTCCACAATGATAACGCTACCACAGTGAATTTTGCGGGCCTTAATCCTTGCCACGCGGAAGATGAATCCATAGCAGATCATCATGACCACAAAAGGCAGCAACGCGCACCAGATCTGCCAAAAGGCAGTGTAGCCAGCCTCTTTATGCCAGGCCGCCACACACATCCACTTGAATTGGTCAAACTCCAAAGATGACCAGCCGAAAAGGGGAGGGAGGCAGCCAATAAGGGAATGTAGCCACACATACACAAGAGCTACCACTGCTCTGTTGCCTGTTATCTTCATTGGGTAAACCATCGGGTACAGGACAGCGTAGTATCTGGTGGACAAGAAAAGAAAGAGTCAACAGGAGCACAAAAGACGTACAATAAAAAAAGGAACATATTTTAATGATGTTGATATCTAGTTCTCTTTTCTCCAAACCTCAAAGCGGGCTCAGGGATCCTGTTTATAAAAATAATTACATGTAAAAATACATATCGTTGCAGGCAAGATTGTAAAACTTGGCTGAAGGCTCACATGCAGCTATTAAATCTGTCCCTATGTGAGTGCATGCTCAGGGTATAATCTGGAATTTTAAGTCACTATTTCTTGTTTCTCGAGTAGTATGTTATTATACCATCAACAGCTTTAAAAAACTCTAGATGCATGTCTGCATTTTGCATTATTGATGACATCACTTTTTTCTGTTCTGTATCAAAATTTCACAAGAGGCTGAAGGAAAAATGACACCACAACAGTATGCAACGTTATCCACTACAACGGTACGCAACTCTATGAACAGCCAGCGAGTCACTCTATGGGATGACTAGGCAATTCGTTACAATTCATTAGAAAAGAGCTGCTTACCGGTCTATAGCTATGAGTCCGAGAGTAAGCATGCTGGCTGAGCTGATCAGCATGTAGAGCAGGGCTGAGAAATTGCACCAAACAACTCCGAAGATCCATTCCCGCCTGATGGAGCTGGTGACAACAAAAGGCAGCACCAGTACAGAGAGTAGAAAGTTGGAGAGGGTCAGGCTGAACACAAACTTGTTGCTCAATGTGAGAAGGTAAGACTTCCGATAGAGGGTGACGACAATCACCAGGTTGCCCAAACAGATGAAAATAGCAATGACGATTATAGCAATGGACTCTGTTACTCTGACTGCCCCGTCTTCCTGCGTGGTGAGGTTCCTCAGGCCCTTCACATTGCTGAGGGAGGAATTGCTGCTCATGGTCAGAGCGTGCAGAGCTGGAGCAGCCAAGACATGCTGAGCAGCTAGAAGCAGAACAATGCTCAGAAACATTCAGGCAAGATTTCTTCAAACTCTCTCCAAAGACTGGAGGCTCTTTTGCCTGTGTTAATTAAAATTTACCTGTAGGATGCAGGAAACCATTTTAGATGGCAAAACGAAGGGGCAGGAAATTGCCTATGGGTACACCAAAGATGTCAGTGACAGAGCCAAGCCTAGAACAGGGAAGAAACTGTCTAAAAGAGAAAAAGAAGTGGAGGGGGGAAAGAAGGAAGAAAATTAGCACATTTTACTTTAAAATTTTCTAAGGATCTTACTTGTTTCTAAGCCCTACTTACCAGCTGTGCATCTCCCTTCATCTAGGCTGTGAAGAAACAACCAGAATGTCACTATCAGTCTTTGTTTCTCTCACTTTAAAAAAGTAGCTTTTTTTTTTTTTTAAATTCTGCCTGTTTATCCTGATTGTTACCTTATATTCTGCCTATACAGCATTTGCTGGTGGTCTGTGGATGCCTGGCTAGTCATACACTGCTGACTCTTTCTTAACAGTTGCTAAGTAACATTCAAAGACTCAGGGATCATCGCACGTACTCTCCTAACATCGCTTCTCCATGTTCATAATCACCTTAGCTACAGCGGTGATTCTATTTTACTGCCAATACCAAAGGACTGGGGGAACTGGCTTTCTGTACATGAGGTTCGAAAGACACTTCTGTGCATTAAGCCATGGTCCACCCTACAGAAATGTTTAAGAACCTTTAACCCCTGACTTCTCAGTGTTAGCATCCATCCCACTGACTCACAACCTCATTTTCTGAAACCTCGGTATTTCTCCCAATTCCTTAGCAGCCTTTTCCCCGCTGTCTCCAACAGGCACTACTATCTACTTCATTCAATCCTGCACCCATCTGCAGGCCAGCATACTGAAGAAAAAACACCACCAAAAATGCAACTATGCAAACCAGAAAACTAAAGAGTCCACCAATTAATATAAAGTTGATGTTAGCATTTCTTGGAAATTAGGGATTCAGGGAAAGTTATCTCAACTAACTCTGTGGCTGTGCCCACCCATCACTCCCAAACGGCCAGGATTACTCACAGAAATGCTTCTGTCTGCGCGGCTGCCGTGGCCTTAGGCAGCAATGTCAGGCTGGAGAGCCGTGTTTTTCCCATTTTTATCTGTGCCTTCCTAAGAGCATAATTAAAGACATTACTGGGCCGTGCTTTGTAAAACATAACTTAGCTCTTCTCTAGCAAAGCTGTCTGCCGACTGTTTGCGTAAGTGCTTCTCCTCAAGTTTCTCTCTAAACATGCCCGCACCACCTCTGTGAGCCTCTCCAATACTTTTTGACTGGTGCAGGTTTTGGAAAGGCGGCTACCCCCAAGGGGCCGCGGCCGCTCCCTACGCTAGCGACGCCCGGGACATCTGGCGCTCCCCGTCTCCTCACGGCCCTGCTGCACCCTGGAGGGGGAGAAGGCGGCCTCCGGGGGAGGTGGCCCGTCC